TTATTTAAATTATATCAATAGTATATTTTTTTTTTAAATTGTAATGCGCCCACCAAACATTGGTGACTTAGAGCCACCACTGAGATATATATAAGGTAATGGATTTTTATTTATCAATCCGACAGAATTTTATCACTTTACGTTTGGATACTAAATTGGCTTAACTCACTCCATGGCTGAGTCAGTTAATGCACATCAGATCTAATGATAGTTTCCCTCTGCCCAGAGTGATGAAGGTTCAATTCCTACCAGAGAACATATATTATTTTTATAATATGATTTCTTGAATATTTTTTCCAGTAGATGAAAATAAATAAATCTCCTGTTTAATAAATAAATTGTGCATCTACTTAAATGTGAGAATCCACTAAAAATGACATTTAAAGTAATATATGTGTGTGTGTGTGTGTGTGTGTGTGTGTGTGTGTGCATGTGTGTTGAGTGGTTGAGGTAGTTGTGTAGCGCCCACAAGTGCCAAGTTTTAAAGGATAAACCCCCACCTTCGAGAATGTTGGTGCACTACAATCTTAATTTTATCTTTTTGATATCTCTTGCAAAACTTACTGCACCATCCATTCCCTCAAGCTTGCCAGGTAGGTTATGCATTGTTTTCTTCTATCCCTCTTGCCTTTGATATGTGCAGTGAGTATCAAATTTTCCTAGCCCTCTTTCTTCATTATGTGCCCCAGAAATTTCAACTATCTTTTCCTGATGTTAGGTATAAGTTTCCTTTGTCTCAATAACTTTATCATTACTCACATCTTCATTCCATGGTATTCTCTACCCTTCTGTAGAACCACATTTCTGTGGCTTCAATCTCGCCATCTTTAAGGAGATTGCCTAGGTTTCACTTCCATATAGGAAGATTGACATTATTTAACAGTTCAGTACTCTTTTCATTCTTTCTGACAAATTTTCCTGTTTCTTAATACTTTGCATAGATTTTGACAATCATCTTTCACTATCCCAACACACCTTTCGATTTCAGTGTCATACTTTCCGTTAAAACACTTACCAGATATTTAAATTGTTATACTTGTTTAATTTCAATATCTTCAATTTGTAATTTGCATGTTTGGCTCTTTGTTTAGCTAACAACCATATATTCTATCTTCTCATAATTGTCGTTTAGTCTTCTGTTCTTGCTTAAATCCAAAGCACTGGCATAACTTTCCAAGTAGCTCAAGTGGTAAGTGTTTGAGCCTTGCTGAGGATCAGGATTTCCAATAATGAGTCTCAGATCAGGAAAGAGGTCTTTTCCAAGAAGAAGATTAATGTAATACAATCTACTTTTCCATCACCTGCCCATAGTTAAGCTTAGTAAATATCCCTGTCCGTATTTATTAGTATATAGCATGTCGACTTCAAAAGCCCACACAAGAGACATGCATTTCTTAAATAAGATAATTGAGCAATGTTTTATCAGGGTAGCTTTCTTGACTTAATTGGTGAAGCACAATTGGCTAAAAAGTGGATGGAAAAGGGAATACAGGTTTGATTCATGTTAGGAGGCCCATTTTCCTGAGACAGATTTTTCAGGCTCTAAGACAGCTGACAATAATTTCAACATTTAAAAACAAATATGGAATAACATAAATGCCTACTCAAATACTTCTATCCACCAACTCTAACATTTATACTATTAAGAAATATATCTATCTATTTATCCTAATCCTTCCATATCTATATATGTATCCCAATCCTTCCATATCTATATCTATCTATCTATCTATCTATAACATTTTTGATTTTCAATATGCCTAGACACACAGCTCAGTCAATTTTATTTTTTTTCAGTGTCTCCCCTTGGTGCATATATATATATATATATATATATATATATATATATATATAAATAATAATAAATCCAGCATGAGTATCCTGAAATAAAGTACCAGTATTAAAGATTAAAACTGTTCATGAGTTTATTTCTTTTGGGACATGCTAATTTTAACTTATCAAAAAATGTTGTCAGTTTTAAATATACCAAAAGTACTAGTCCTAATTTCTAGCCAAACCCTATTTAAAACAGTAGGTCTTTACATTTAAGGAAAATGGAAACAAAAAGCCCACTTAGAAATTGATAGAAAAATTTACTCATTTCATGAGGAAAGAATTGAGAATTGTCTGCGAGAGATGAGAAACCCAACAGACAATTAGATCAATTTGAGGTAGCATTTCTTGTGCAGACACACACACACATATATGCTTGATACGTTAAAGAGCAAATAGGAAAGTTTTATCAATCTAACATGTTTCACTTTTATTAAAGCTTCATCAGAGAATCATATTAATAAATTATATATTAATAAAAGTGAAATATATTATATTGATAAACATTTCCTATTTGGTCTTTATCCTATCATTCTGTCAGATTCTGATCCATGTTTCATCTGTATTTGATTCAATTTATAATATATATATATATATATATATATATATATATATATATATATATATATATATATATTCCTATCTATATATATACATAGTGGATATAGTAATAATTAATAATGCCCATTTAAAACAAACAATCCGTTAATTCCTTTCATATATATATGTATATATATATGTATATATGTGTGTGTGTATGTGAGTTAAGGATCAAATACAGACCAAATCTGGAACAAAATCCAACAGAATGAAATGTTTATCAATCTAAATTTTTTTATTAATAAAAGTGAAACATGTTATAAGGATATACATTTCCTATTTGTTCTTTATCTTCTACATACATACATACACACCAAATATATATATATATATATATATATATATATATATATATATATATATACATATGTAACTCAATTTGTGGATCAGATTTAATGTTTTTATATTATTAAATTCACTTGGATTATTTACCAATGGATTATTACTTGTGTGTGTGTGTGTGTGTGTGTGTGTGTGTGTGTGTGTGTGTGTACATATATATATATATATATATATATATATATATATATATATATATATATATATATGTGTGTATGTTTTTAAATAGATATTTTCACTGGTTAAAATAATAACAGTAATGTCAACTCAAATTTGTAACCCATAAAAATAAATTTGATAGTAATGAGAACTATATATAATAAATGTGTGTCTGTGTGTGTATGTTTATATATTCAAGAGGAGAAATCAGTAGCGTTTCATCATATACACCCAAGTAAAGGATTGGTATAGACGGAATAAAATTCCAGTTACCAAAAACACTATTCTTAAGAGAGTGCTCAATACATAGTAGAGCAAATATTATTTATTCAAAAATTATCACATAAACATGTTATAACATCTCTACAAAAATAGCCATTTTGTTTCAACACTTCTGGTGTCTTCTCAAGTGATGGTGTTGAATATAGTGCAGTTATAACATGTTTATGTTATAATTTTTGAATAAATAATTATATATATATATATACATTTAGCATTTTTAAAATAAAACTATCAGAAAATTGACAACTCTGATTCCCATATTCATTCTAACAATACACACACACACACACTTACACACACACACAAGGAGATGCTAAAATGTTTTGTGTCAGCCCACTTACCAAAATCAGTATTTTAGCAAGTAAACAGCAGAATACCTAAATGTTAATTTGGTCTGATACAAGAACTTTTCAGAACCCATTTTATATATATATATAGAGAGAGAGAGAGAGAAAGAGAGAGAGACAAAAGGAAAACTTATCTTAGCCAACACATTTCATCCTCTGAGGGAAGGGACTTTATCAAGGCAATTTCTTCATACTGTTCTTTTACAGAAATACTTTATCTGAAAATTTGCACACACCCATATATGTTTTTAAATGAGGATGTAGAAATCCTGACAAAGTTTTTAAATTTAACAAATGGAAACATATCATTGAAATAGATCTGGTTACGCATTTCACCATTCAAGTCTTCATCAGATCCAAATCCTTTCATTCTTTTTCATTTTGGGATCTGATGAATCCTTGAATAGTGAAATCTATAATCTCATATATATATATATATATATATATATATTTACAATAAAAACAGTTGCTAAAGTACTAAAAATGTTTGCTTTGATTAAAATTCGACATTAAATCTCCACAAATGTTATCTTATTTTGCTCAAACATATAAATATATATATATATATATATATATATATATATATATATATATACACACACACACAGGTGAATACACATCATCTTGGCTTTGTACCACAATATTGAAAATTGATGAATTTACTGATGTGTGGGGATGTTGGAATAATTCAATCATCAATCAGTTGTTACAAATAGACAAACAGGATATTTATATCAGAGGTATCTTCAGCCAATAACCATGGCAACTGTTTCTGGGGTTTAATAACAGGCTATTTTAGCAATGTGTTGTGTTGTGTGTGTGTGTGTGTGTGTGTGTGTGTGTGTGTGTGTGTGTGTGTGTGTGTGTGTGTGTGTGTGTGTGTGTTTTGATTTGTTGTCACAATTTGATTTATTTATTATTTATACACTTGCATTGGTTTGAGTTGAACAGTGAAAGGACCAAGCCATTAATTCTTTGTATGTTCAAAACTAGGTTTAGGTAAAAGATTGGACATTGGTTTATCTTCAACAGTCACTCATTGAACCAAATAAATCTACATATGTGCTTGAAATAAAATAAAATTCTATCAGAATATAGATACTTCAACATTATATATATATATATATATATATATATATATATATATATATATAGATAGATAGATAGATAGATATATATATATAGTAGAATATCAAAATACTGTTTATCTGATATATTTATAGATATGTAAGTATTTATATTAGAAGATAGGCTTCTATTTCAGATTAAGAGTTTTAAGCTTGGTGTCAAGATAATTCCAACCAATATTTGCTTAGTCTGACAGCCATCCAAAACTGGGATTGATTGATAAAGAGATAGATTAATACATAAGTAAACATATATAGAATGATAGACAATGATAAATAAATTGATAATGAATAAAGGTAGATATGAACAGACTGAGATGGATAGATTATTAGATATAAACAGACTAGAGAGAGGGTGGGGAGATAGATAGATAGATAGATAGATAGATAGATAGATAGATAGATAGATAGATAGATAGATAGGTAGGTAGGTAGACTTTAATAAAATTCCAGATACTGATGAGGGTCTATCAATAAGTAAGAACCCAAATATCTAATTGCTTAAATTTTGATATAAAATTTTCCTGGTTCGGTCTATATAATTAATATTCGCCACTATTAATTAAGTGCATTGACAAAAGATGAAAAATAAATATCTGTTATGCAAAATGAATATGCTTTTCCTTATTAGCCACAGATTTCTTTATATATTTATATTTGTATACATATATACCAAAAGGCTTAACAAGAGAGTCCTTGTCTGTTCTTTTTAATAAGATATCTTTAAAAGAAGAGTTGTTGCCTAAATATACCATATATATATATATATATATAACATTAGTAAATCAATGTCTGCAACATTATACTTTTTAGCATATTAGTTTGTTTTAGTCTATCAGCTATGCATAGCAGACAGATAAGCAGATAGGTAAAGAGATATATAAAGACAGACAATGATAGATAAATTGATAATGAACAAAGGTAGGTATGAACAGATCTAAATAGATATAGTCAAATATGTAGACATGTATAGAGTGAGATAGATACGAACAGACTGAAACAGATAGATAGATAGATAGATAGATAGATAGATAGATAGATAGATAGATAGATAGATAGATAGATAATGAATTAATGAATAATCCTTTGCAAATAAAAAATATTTTAAAAATATTTTTACTTATATTCTCTTCTCTGTACAAAATCATAATCTAAATATTTCTATTTAAATTTTTAAATTAAATAGAAAAGTTCTTTTTTGCAAATTTTTACAGTATATCTATAAAATCAAATGGAAATACAATAATATTAACTATTTCAACAGTAAATTTAAATTTATTTACATTGACAAATAAAAATCTACTAGGATGTACTACTTGTTAGTAATCAAAAGTATAATTATTTTAACAAATGCCAATCTAACCATTATCTATCCTCCTTATCCTCACTCCCTTCTACCTCCTCTAAATTTATATCACATACCTCATTCAGTAACCATCTATTGTGAGTGGCACTTGAGCCTTGTATTGAGGGAACTTAATAAAAAAAAATTAAATAAAAATCAATGATATCTCAGGTAGGATTTGTTAGATGGATACACCAATAATTTCATTTAGTCTGATAATTAAGTTTCCAAAGAGAAAATACAAACAGCAAAATGAAAAACAAAAAAATGAAATAATTATCTTTGTTGTATTTTAGTATTGAGTGCATTTTACCCAATAAACATAGGCAAAATTTGGGCTTTTCTTACCCACTTACTTTACCACTACTCCAAGTAGCTTTAGTCATGATTTTGCACAAACTAAACAATATTTGTAACTGTACAGAATAAAGGTGATCAAACACTAAATTGTAAATTTTTTTACTTAATATTTGTTGTAACAAGCTTCAGCACTCAATCATGATATTGTGTTTTGAAAATTAGGTAGAAAAAAGAAAACACTGCATAACGTACTTGATGAGCTTAAGTAAATAATGGCAGAACAGGGTTTAGGAGAAAGAATGAAAAGACAATTTATTAAGAGCTATGAAGGACAGGAAGTTGTGGAGAACCATGATTGCCTACATCCTGAGGGAATACAGTGCATAAAGAAGAAGATATGTGTCATGGGTACTTACCTATAACTACAGAATGAACTCTTCCTAACACTATGTATACTACGCCTCTCAAGAGAGAGGGTCAAATCAAGTCGAGCCGATAGTAGTTCACTCCAAACCAGACTGACAGTCATACTAACACCTTCCACATCTTGTTTTATTATTTTGTGTAATATACCTTCGTTATTTCTACTCTTGTGTTCGTGTTGTTCTTCCTTGGTCCTAACCTGGACCATAACAATATGTATTACTGATATAAGACTATACTATAATGTAAATGTATTGAAAATGATTTTACTATAAAAATGCATTGGAAATCAGAAAGAAAAGTATTGTCTGTGGTCAGGAGTTAAGACAACAATTACAAACAAAAAAAAATATTGATGATATGGAAAATGTAAATAAAATCCCAAGGCATGATTTGCTAATTGAAGATATAAGCATCAAGCCGGTTCAGAAGTTAATATATCTGGGAAGCATTTTAGCACAGGATAGAAAATATGGCAGCAAGATCCGAATACACATTGGATTAGCAAAAGAAGCATTCCAAAAGCTAAGCAAGATACTGAGAAACAGAAAAAATATCATTAGAAACAAAGAAGAGTGCTGGATTGCTATGTGATATCTATCCTCTTATATGACAAGAAATGCTAGACAATCTCTCCACAGATGAGGAAAAAAACTAGATGCAGCAGAAATGTGGTTCTACAGAAGGAAAATTCATAGCCAGAGCAAGTAAGCAAAAAAGAAGTCTTAAAGAAAATGGCAACAGAAAGAATGCTTATACTCACAATAAGAAAGAGATAACTTAAATTCTTTGGACGCATAAAGGAAGAAAGAGGGCTTGGAAAACTTAACCCTCACGGGGCATATTGACGGCAAGAGAGATAGGGGAAGGTGGTGCGCCACTTACCCAACAGACTTCTGGATGGTGGAATGGAAGGGAAGCTTTAGCAAAGAAAAAAAAACTGGTCAGGGTCATACCAGATAGGTAATCATGGCTCCTGAAAGGAGACAGTATATAAAAGAAAAATTACATTGCTAATGATTTTATTACAGAAGCATCTAGGAAATTAAAATGAAAAGCATTGTCAGTGGTCAGGTATTGAGGCAATCTGTGTTGATAAAATAAGTTTGTATAATAAGATATTTCCAAAATGAATTAATAATAAATATCTAAATTGCCAAATATATTACTTATACAAATCTCAGCATAGATAACTTGTGTTAAGATTAATTTTAATAATTAATCTTAAGTTTTCATCATATAATATGATTTCTCATTGAAAAGAATAGAAAGCAATTTTATTTTTGAGAATTACAGAATTTTTTTGTAGCATACAGACACAAGTTTACAGGAAACAGCAAAATAATTGCTGACATCATTATTTGGATAGATAGATATGAAGAGAGAGAGAGATGAATAGACGGTGTTAGAAAGATTTGGATTTTTAAAAAAATATTATGCTTTATTTTCCATAATTTCTTTTAATATACACACTTTTCTGTCGTTGGAACTACTATAACCTCTTACTTATGTATATATATATATATATATATAATGGGATGACAAAGATATTCTGTGCATATTTTTATTTAGTTGACAATAAAACTGCTTTTGCAGCCTTTGTCAGTGCTTAATATTGAATAGTGTTTTTAACTGGGCTAAATTTCAAATCCAGAAGACATTAATGGCTTCAGTTTAAGAATCACCAATCCTCTGCTTGTAGCTCCTAATAAAGATTTTTATTACCTCTTCAGATCAGATGAGATAGATAGAAATGAAAAGAATGAGATAGATAGATAGATAAATAGATAGATAGATAGATAGATAGATAGATAGATAGATAGATAGATGTTGATCATATTAAAATAGAAGGAAAATTATTACATTGAGAGAGGGAGAGACTGATAATCAACTTGCGACAATCAAAAGTACTTGAACAAAACAGAAAAAAAACATAGTTTATTCATAATTTTCATCCCGATATACAATATCTTATTTGAAAATTGGAAGAATGCAGTAAAAATGGACAAACCTTCTCAGTTGAATTTTAGAAAACTTGTTTGGATGACTTCTTGCTGCTTAAATACACCTTATGTATAGTTCTATCTATCTATCTATCCATATATATATACATATATAAAGTAGTTGATGAATTTTTATTAAATTTATTCCACACACACACACTTATACATATATATACACACACACACACACACACATACATATATATATATATATATATATATATATATATATATATATATATATATATATGAGAATATGAAATACAATTTTTTATACATAAGAACAATGTTCAGAAAATTAATGACAAAGCGGAAAGTATTTTGTGTAATGTGTTTCTTCTTTTAGTTTGATTAAGTCCTAAAGGGCAAAATGTAACATGTACAATTTTTTAGGCTTAGTCCTTTTGCCTTATATATATATATATATATATATATATATATATATATATATATATATATAAAGAAGGCATGGATTTTTTTAATCTCTTAATCCAACAGTTTTTTATTAAATGTTATTCTTAGTGGATACCCATATTTGTGTAGACAATCCATTTATTTATTGAACAGTATATTTATTTATCCTTGTCTACCAGCCTGAATATTTGAGAATATGTATGTTTGTGTGTATATATATATACTTGATTTCAATGGAATAGATTGAAATTTTATAGAAATAGATATATACAAACTTCTTAGAAATAGATAGATAGATAGATAGATAGATAGATAGATAGATAGATAGATAGATAGATACTATATTTAGATAGATATGAAGAAACTTGAATAGATAGATATTAATTAACTTAGATAGATATAAAGTGATATAGATAGATAGATAGATAGATAGATAGATAGATAGATAGATAGATAGATATGATGAGACTTGAGACAGATAGATAGATATGAAGGTAGTTATTAAGATTGGATAGATAGATAATGATCATCTGGTTTTGTCTTTAGTTAAGGTATGAATATCTTCCATGACATCACTCAATCAAGATTGTGATGTGATTTCCTTTTCTCTCTATTTGTCATGTCCTTTTATGATGTGGGCAATCATGGCTCTTCACAGTTTTCAGTCTTTTGTTGCTTTCTATAACCACCTCTTTAACATTGTGATAATTTTTATTTCTACAAAATATAATATGTTTTCAATAAATAAAAAAAAAAAATCACTGAGAGTAGGCAGATAGAAAACTTGTCCTGTCAACCCCACCACCACCACAAATTATAGTAATTTTAGAAAGGAAAAGTAATCCGTTTGGTTTTTGTTAAATAAATATATCTTAATAAAATAAAAATAATTTGAATTTAATGTTGCTTTCCTTTATTGTTAAAACTTTTAAATCCAATCCATTATTTTCAAGATCTTCTCGGATTTTAGGGCCTTATATAAATTTCTCGGTTTTTCTTTGTGAATATTGGAACAAGAAAATATAGAATTTCTACCATTCTCTGGGGTGTCTTTGAAAATAATGAATCATAAATGTTTTATTAAATATTAGCTTGAAACCTTTTTTGTAAGGGAATGCAGAGAAATTCATAAACATTCCATTGACTGAATTTCTATATATGTTCACAAGAACAAATAAAATGAATCTTTCGTATTTAAAAATCTCCAATATTAATACTGTTGTTGAATATAGGATTGTAATAATGTAATGTTTTTAACTTTCTTGTTTATAAAAGAGATTATTTTCCCAGATGCTTTAATCAAACAAAAGAATAATGCACACCCACAGGTTGCAATATTTAACGGCATATGAAACCAACAGATGTTTTTTTTTACCTGAAAATGATATATATATGTGTGTGTGTGTGTGTGTGTGTGTGTGTGTGTGTGTGTGTGTGTGTGTGTGTGTGTGTGTGTGTGTGTGTGTGTGTATTATAATAAAAAGAAAGAATAGTAAGATATATAATCCGGTGTTCTTTTTCATTTTGTAAAAATGAAAACCCTGTGTAGCGAAGAAACCATATTTTAAATCAGTTAATTCATAATATATATATATATATATATATATATATATATATATACCCTATATGTTACATGCATAGTTCTTATATACACTAAAATATACTAATGTACTAAAAGTATAATGTTGCAGGTTTATTGATTTACCTATATTTTATTAAAAAACATAACTATTGTTGCATTACATCAAGCACTTTTTTTTATTAACACCAGCACTATATGTGGGCTATATTTATATATATATATATATATATATATATATATATATATATATATATATATAAATACTAAATTATACTATTATACTATGCAAACAGCAAGTATGTTTTACAGGATTTACAGTAAGTAGTATTTATATAGTATAATTTAGTATTATATATATATATATATATATATATATATATCACACATAGTGCTGGTGTTGATAAAAAATGCTCAATATAATACAACAATACTTTTGTTTTATAATAAAACATATAAAAAATTAAATACCACTTACGATATAAATACTATTTACTGTAAATCCCAGTAAAACATACTTGTTTGCATAGTGACTCCACAGTAGGAACCGAAATTAATTTACATACAATGAAAGGTTCTGGGCATAAATAAATTCTGACTCCAGACCACTTCTCCTTAAAGAGATAATTTATGCCCTCCCCTTGTCACCAACACAAGCCCCTTATCAAAAAGAAGGTGTCCCTTTGAGTAGGACTGCTATCTAAAATAAATTTAAAACCCCAATTCCAGACAGGCATTTGTGGGCTGATGAGGATCAGCATTAAGCTGTGCTGATCTGAAATAGACTATATCCACATGAAGTAATTTCGGATTTTTGCTGTAAAATATATATATATATATATATATATATACCCTGAAGATCTATTTAGGTGAAACCTAGATAGGTTTGCCTGGCTCATTAGGATTTATTCTAGTATATATATATATATATATATATATATATATATATATATATATATATATATATATATATATGTATATTTAGGCAGCAATCCTTCGTTTATGCATGTTTCATTAGAAACAACAGACAAGGTACTACAGTTAAGCTTTTTATTTAATTTTTCTTGTGTTCGAACAAGAGCTTTCTTTTCTGGACAAAGAGTGTATAAAAACTGTTCAAATGTTTGGACATTCGAACAGTTTTTACACACTCTTTGATTTAAGGACTGCTAATTTTAACACCTACAAAACTAAAATTCTCTCCATTAATCATCTATGAGACCCCTCCCTGCCTTACATCAGCATGGCTGATGCTAACCTCCAGGAAAGTGACTCATTGCACCTTCTCAGGTTCATGTTCTCTGCTGATATGAAGTGGAAAGACTATATAGAATCCATTGCTAGGTCAGATGCTAAGAAAGATGGTTCACTATGTTGGGTGAGACAGTTTTTCTCTCTAGAATCTATCTTGCATATTTATAAGTCTACCATTCATCTTTGCTTAGAATATTGCTACCACATATGGTCCAGTGCTCCTGCTATTTACCTCGAGCTCCTTGATAAGATCCAAAGAAGAATTTGCAATATTATTGGTCCTGATCTGGTGGCTCAGCTTCAGCCAATTTTCCATCGCCATACGATTGCCTCTCTATGTGTTTTCTATAAATACTTTCATGGTAATTGTTTGAATGAGCTCTTTACTATGGTACCTAGACTTTATGAATTTAAGTGCAGCACTAGACTGGCATCAAGATCTCATCAATTTACAGTTGAGCTGGCTAGATGTAGCCATAAATTCTATGTTAACAGTTTCTTTTCTCACACTTCTCATTAGTGGACCTCCCTTCTGGCTCCATGTTTTCCAACCAACTTTAATTTTCAAAAATTTAAATGCAATGTCACTATCTAGTGTCCTCCTGATTACTCTTTTTTCTTTCTGCTCATGAGTATTGTTTCTGTTCCAAATTCTTCTACACCCTGTAAACCCTTGTGCTTTAGTGGCATTACTGCCTTGCTTGGAGTGATTCTGATTAAAAAAAAAAAACAATAAGGAAAATTTCAGGTTAAAATTCAAGCAATAAATAGATATTTGGCTTCTTACTTCTTGAAAGAACTTCATCAGTATCTTGGATTTTACTAAAGTCTATCTAGGTCCGTTCAAATAAACATAGAGGTTGATATGCTGGTAAACAAAATCAACGAAGCCAAACATTCACATAGACCCTCAACAGTATCTGGGATTTTATTAAAGTCTATCTCACTTTATCTGTTCGGAACGATATATTTTGGTCCTATCTTGTTTTGTTCAGATCTATCAGTCTATTTTGGTACTTCTATCTTCTACTGGTCTTATCTATCTATCTTAATAGTCTTTATCTATCTATCTATCTATCTATCTATCTATCAATACAGTCTTTATCTATCTATCTTAATACACTCTATACCTATCTATCTATCTATCTATCTATCTATCTATCTTAATACAGTCTTTATCTATCTATCTTAATACACTCTATACCTATCTATCTATCTATCTATCTATCTATCTATCTATCTAAATACAGTCTTTATCTATCTATGTATGTCAGACACTTTCTATCTATCTATCTTGGTCTGTTCATGTAGACACTCATAAGTATTTGTGGCTTTATTAAAGTCTATCAGTTTTGGTCTGATTTATCTATCTTGCTACATTCTATCTTCCTGTCTATCTATATCTGTCAGACTGTTTTTATCGATCTATCTTGATCTGTTCAGTTCTAATATCTATCTATCTGAGACTCTCTGTTTGTATCTGTTCAAATCTATCTACCTAGCTAGCTATCAAACTTTTCTATAAATCTTTCATGTGTGTGTTTGTGTATATATATATATATATATATATATATATATAGTTAGTTAG